TTTTTTGTTTTATTTTTTATCTATTTGCTATTTTTTTTTTAGAAAACTGTTTAACAAATTTTATTTCTTTTTCTAAAATTAATTTAACTCGGTACAGTTCAGCAGATTACAAATAGTGATCTACAAAAATTTTAACTCTGATTCCCTTTTTCTTTTTTGCTTTATTAAATAATGCAAAAAAAAGAAGGAAAGGAGTGTACATTATGAACAGTAAGTTGTGTAGCAACAAAACTGTTTGTTCAGTCAGTCGTCACTGAGCGGAACGACAGTTCAGTTGAGGAGGTTGGTGCCGCTTTGTTGTTGCAGACTGTCTATGCTCAGGCTATTTGATGCTTTTAGTGAATACATTAACTGCTAACTAATTGGACAATTCTGCATTGATAGTATTACATTTATTTTTCAGGTATCTGGTAAACTCTGTTCAGCTTTTTATTGTCGTTCTTTAGATCTGTAAGAAAAATAGGTAGAATAAGTAACTTTATTCTATTTATTTGTTTATTTTTTTTCTCTGTTTCTTTGGGTTTTCTTGCAGATTATAAGATTTTTGTAGTTATACATAAGCGATATGGAATCATATATATAAAAGTTAAATTTTTTTTTTTTTTAATGAATAACTGCTATATGAATCCTACTGATAATGACATAATTCTTTTAAAAACTGTCATTGTTGCTGTTATTGTTGTTCCTGTTGTCGTTGCCAATAAATCAATTGGAAGTGAAATATAAATAAATGAGCTGTTAATTCTTGAAAGAAAACTTTGATTTTTTTTTTTTTAGCATTTTGTATAACCAAAATGCAGTATAAGAAATTGTAGGATTAATGCAAAAACAATGGGTACTAAACGTGCAAATCAGTTTCGTTTGATAACAGTGTTCAGCGTAACATCGTCAACTGCAGCTTCCTTCCTCTGTGTGGTCGTAATTCCGTTATTCTATACTTATGTTCAAACAAAGACATCTTTGATGCGAGAAGAGGTTAACTTCTGCAAATCAAGATCTTCAAATATATTAGACGAAGCAGCTCGAATACAGGTATATTATAAAAATAAAAATAAAAAATAAAATAGGTAGTATTGCAGAAAGAGAAGCTTTTTTTTTTTGCTCATTATTAAACCTATGATTTAAAAAAAAACCATCTTTTAATATTTTTCATCGTGACTGTTCACGTTAAATGTCATTTTTATTTTTTTTTCTTTTCTGAAATTATTGAGTTATAAGTTAGCCTTTTTCTTTAATTTTTTTATTTTTAATTTATTATAATTTTTCTAATGAAAATAGAAAAATTGCTTACCTTTTCTTCTCTTTTTTTGATTAAAATAATTCGCTTCGAAGTGGTAAAAAAAAAACTAAATCAGCACCAGCTGCTGAGTTTGCTAACTAAAAAGTACAATAAATTGTTCGAAAACACAGGACTGAAAAAAAAATTTTTTATCTAATCACTCGTTTTTTTTTTTTTTTGTTTCTGAAAAATAAGATATTTTCTATTGCGGGTAAAAAAATTTTCAATTTTTTAAAAACTATCTTAACTTTAATATCATTTCTTTCTTTCACAACTGTTTTACATATTCTTTTTAAAATCTAAAATTCAATAATTTTTGAGATATTTTTGAATACCTTTATATGATACTTCACAGATGCATAAACTTCTAAAAATTGTTAAGAATTTGTTCCATATTCAGTGTGTAAACATTTTAAAATAACATCACTAAAATGACAAAAACTTTTATTCTGCAACGCCATCTGACTACTTGTAAATTATCAACTTGTATTTGAACAAATTTACAAAATTTTGAAATTTTTTGGACCTCTACATTCTGTTTATAAAAATGCTTCTTCATTAAAAAAATTGCTTATAATTTCCTAAAAATTTTGTTTGCTGAGTTTTTTTCAACAGTTTTAAGTCTTGGAAAAATTTTACTTAACTGTTTTTTATGCAGCATCAAAAGTTTTGATTTTGAAGTAAAAATAATTTGACCGAAATCTGTGCATCAAATGTCAAAACTGCTCTGAAATGGTCTTAAAAAGTACAATAAATTGTTTGAACATACAGAACTGAAAAAAAAAATTTTTGTTATCTAATCATTTGTTTTTTTTTTTTTTTTTGCTTTTGAAAAATAAGATATTTCCTATTGCGGGTAAAGAAATTTTCAATTTTTTTTCTTTGCAAACTATTTTTTTCGGTAGGAAAATTTATAACCTGCAAGAAAATGACAGTGAAAATTTTTGATTTGATATTTTACTTCGTGCCACATAGCATTGTAAAATTCAAAACAAAAAAAAAATGTCACAGCATGTTTTACAGTTTACACAATGCAAAGTAGAAAAATAAATTGCACAATTAAAAAAATAGCCGAAAATTAATTTTTCTTTATAAAACTTAAAAAAATTACACGAAATCGTTAATGCAATATAACAAGATTTAAGTTATCTTACAAAAAATTTTATCTGTCTATCAAACTACCAAAAAAATCGACAGCGCTTTTTATTAATATAATTGTAAAAATAATTACTTTGTTTTTAAATTTTTTTAGCACTCTGATAGCTCTCTGAGTTCTCCAAGACACTCTAGAAAGCTATGATGAGCGTGGTTGCACCAATAAAAAACGTAAATTCGTATTAGCATTTCATAAGCTGATGTTTGGCACTTTATTCTGA